GCGGGAGGGAAGGGGGGAAGCGCTTGGCCCGTGGGCTGTGCTTTGTTCCCTCAGGTCTGTGGCATCTGGGGGGGGCGGGGGGGACCCTGTGTTGGTGGGACCCCCTGCTCGATACCTCGGGAGTGAGCGGGAAGGGTCTGTGCTTGTCTTCTCAGGGGCCGCACATACGTGTGTGTTTTGGGGGATGCGATGCTTTGCTGGTGTCTCCCCTCTGCTCAGGCCCTGAGGGCTCTGTGGGGCAAGCTTCCAAGACTCCTCCATGTTCCCTCTCACCTTAAATCCCTCAGCACTGGTGCTGGGTCTACCTGGTGTGTTATGGTCCTTTCAGGCTTATAGTGCGTGGAGGGGAGTGTCAGGGCTCCCCGATGCTCCTGCTGTGACACCTCCATCTCCCTGCTCCCCTCAGGGCCTGTCGGCATGGCGGATGAGGAGATCGCGGCCCTGGTCGTGGACAATGGCTCTGGCATGTGCAAGGCGGGCTTTGCAGGGGATGATGCCCCCCGTGCTGTGTTTCCCTCCATCGTGGGGCGTCCCAGGCATCAGGGCGTGATGGTGGGCATGGGGCAGAAGGACAGCTATGTGGGGGATGAGGCTCAGAGCAAGAGGGGCATCCTCACCCTGAAGTACCCCATCGAGCATGGCATCGTCACCAACTGGGATGACATGGAGAAGATCTGGCACCACACCTTCTATAATGAGCTGCGCGTTGCCCCAGAGGAGCACCCTGTCCTGCTCACTGAAGCCCCCCTCAACCCCAAGGCCAACCGGGAGAAGATGACGCAGATCATGTTTGAGACCTTCAACACCCCAGCTATGTATGTAGCCATCCAGGCTGTGCTGTCCCTCTATGCCTCTGGCCGCACCACGGGCATCGTCATGGACTCTGGGGATGGCGTCACCCACACCGTGCCCATCTACGAAGGCTACGCCCTGCCCCATGCGATCCTGCGTCTGGACTTGGCTGGCCGTGACCTGACCGACTACCTCATGAAGATCCTCACGGAGCGGGGCTACAGCTTCACCACCACCGCTGAGAGAGAGATCGTGCGGGACATCAAGGAGAAGCTCTGCTATGTTGCTCTGGACTTTGAGCAGGAGATGACCACGGCCGCCTCATCCTCCTCCCTGGAGAAGAGCTATGAGCTGCCTGATGGGCAGGTGATCACCATCGGCAATGAGCGCTTCCGCTGCCCCGAGGCCATCTTCCAGCCCTCCTTCCTGGGCATGGAGTCCTGCGGCATCCACGAGACCACCTTCAACTCCATCATGAAGTGCGATGTGGACATCCGGAAGGACCTGTACGCCAACACTGTCCTGTCTGGCGGCACCACCATGTACCCCGGCATCGCTGACAGGATGCAGAAGGAGATCACCGCCCTGGCTCCCAGCACCATGAAGATCAAGATCATCGCCCCGCCAGAGCGTAAATACTCGGTCTGGATCGGCGGCTCCATCCTGGCCTCGCTCTCCACCTTCCAGCAGATGTGGATCAGCAAGCAGGAGTATGACGAGTCCGGCCCCTCCATTGTCCATCGCAAGTGCTTCTAGTGGGGCTGCTGGCGGTCACCCGAGGGCTGTCCCTGGCTGTGCTGTGGCTGCTGACTCCTCCCATGTCAGACCACAATCCCTTGCCTGTTACTTATTTCATGTTTTAATTGGTTTGTTGAGGTACCCAGTAGTGATGTGTGTTTTAGTGGCTGTAGTTCTCCTGCGGTTGGCTAGCTGCCCCTCTTCCCTGCGGTGCGGTGGGCTCGGGAGCAGGTGATGCTGCTGTTAGATGCCTCACCTGTAGGCTCGCCACAGGTGGCTCCTTTGTAGCAAAACAAATAAAACTTCTGAGGCTTGAAAACAAGAAGAGGTTGTCTCGCTTCCTCACAGGGTGGGCGCTCGGTCTCCTGGCTGCGAAGAACTGGTGCGCAGTGCGTGGTTTTGGACTTGAGCCTTAGAAGGCAAAAATTGGGGTAAATACAATACGGAATGTAGGGGCAGCACCTTTTCTATGGATTTTCTGTGGATTCTAGGATTCCCTTACAGCTGCCTCGTGCTGTGCGGGCCATTTTCAGAGCTGTTAGGGAGGGAGGCATGGCTGGTGTGTGGCTCTTGCCGCCTCCCTGTGCTTTCGTGGTCAGTCGGTGTTTTTTAGTGCACAAATGGCTTTTCTGGTCAGGGAAAACATGTGGTGCCTTGGCTTGGGGTTTGGAGGCCGGAGCAGCGTTGGCTTCTCCTTTTTCGGGAGAGGAAGAGGCAGTCGGGGCTGGAGCTCGCCCTGCTCGGGGGTGCAGGGTTCCTCCTGCTCCGGGAGCTCCGCTTCCCTGGGGACGGCTGGTGGTGCTTAATTAAATACCGTTAATTAAAGG